TGAATAACTGAGGGGACAAGAATCCCTTACCCAGTGAGGTCACCGTCTCGTAGTTCTCCTGCATGACGTCCCTGTAGAGAGCTCTCTGAGCGGGGTCCAGGAGAGCCCCCTGCCCCTGGGTGAAATACACAGCCACCTCCTCGAAGGTTACCGGCATCTGGAACACCAAAAGCCCCCACTCATTACCTGATGCTCCAGCCACAATCCCACTAGTTATCTGTGAGGACAGATAAAGATATGGACGCTCTGGGAGCGACAGAGTAGCAGAATCCCACCCCCAACCTGCTCAGAGCAGCCAGGAGCCTTCAGGGGATGGGGAGAAGGTGAGAGCTACTTGTCTCCCCCCAGCACACGGAGCAGGGCAGGGTCTCCTCATTTCCCACACACCTGCGAGACACAGGCTGATACGGGAAGCAGAGCTCTGAGCCAGGGACAGGAATCCCAACAGCTTCCCTTCATATTTCACAGCAGCCTGTGGCTAGTTGGGTCTCACTCCCAGCCCTGTGCAAGGGGGTTATATCCTGTTTGAGAAATGGGGGAATGTCCCATCTCCCCTCCCCCATCACCAATGGGCCCACTCAGAAAATCAGCAGGTTTATCACACCCTGTCTCCTCCCTGCCCCTGCCCAGGAGCTCCCTGATAATCCCCTACCTGAGCTGGCTCCATCACAGACATTTCCCTTCCCTGTCTCCTGGAAGATGGGCCCATCTGGAGCAAAAGGTGGACGTGATTCCTCAGCCTGTCAGGGCAAGAGGAATGATGGGGGAGGTTACAGAAGGGGCTTCAGTCCATGTAACACCGTGATTCCCTCCCAGACTCTTCAGACCCTCCCAGTAACAGTATCTCTGAAGCAAATGCTAGAAAAAAAGCAGAACTAAAGGGGCCACTTTGGGGGATTTTCCCACACTTCCGTGTAAACTCCTCTCCCTTAGGAGCAGCAGGAGCCCTCTGATGGCATCACCTAAAGAATGAGCTGCCCTGGACTCCCCCAGCAGCCCCCAGGGACAGGCAGGGAGAGGCTAATCCCATTGGCCCAACCACACTCCCTGCCTGCCCAAAGCAGCAGTGACTCCGGGGTGGCTGAGATGTGAATCCTGCCCAGAAATCAGACCAGGGCCCTGGGCGACCCAAAAACTCATGAGACACAAACCCCACCAACACGGGTGTGTCTGACAGTAACACACTGGGAGCAGGGTGTGGGTGGATGGGATTTTGCCTCTGTCCCCCGCCAGTCTCCCCACACCCCTACTGCCCTCGCAGTGCCCCCGACTCACATCATCCCCCATTCCAGCCTCGCTCCCCTCAGCCCCACAATCCCCCCCGTCACCCCATCTTCCCTTCAGTGCACCCCGGCCCCCATCCCAGCCTGCCCCCCGCATCCCCAGCGCCCGCCTCCTGCGCCCTCCCTGCCTGCCCTCACCCCCTGCACCTCTTTATCCTCCTCCCCCTGCAGCTCGGGTGTTCTGGGGGCGGGTGTCTCTCACCTTCCCTCCGAGCGGGGCCCCCTGGGGCAGGGGCCGGGCCGGGAAGGGGG